AAGAACAATATCCAACCATCTTGTCCTCTGTCGTCCCCTTCTCCTTGTGCCCTCAATCTTTCCCAACATCAGGGTCTTTTCCGGGGAGTCTTCTCTTCTCATGAGGTGGCCAAAGTATTGGAGCCTCAGCTTCAGAATCTGTCCTTCCAAGTGAGCACTCAGACTGATTTCCTTAAGAATGGATAGGTTTGTTCTTCTTTCAGTCCATGGGACTCTCAAGAGTCTCCTCCAGGACCATAATTCAAAAGCATCAATTCTTCGGCAATCAGCCTTCTTTATGGTCCAGCTCTCACTTCCATACATCACTACTGGGAAAACCATGGCTTTAACTATATGGACCTTTGTTGGCAAGGTGATGTCTCTGCTTTTTAAGATGCTGTCTAGGTTTGTCATCACCTTTCTCCCAAGAAGCAGGCGTCTTTTAATTTCGTGACTACTGTCAGCATCTGCAGTGATCATGGAGCCCAAGAAAGTAAAATCTCTCACTGCCTCCATTTCTTCCCCTTCTATTTGCCAGGAGGTGATGGGACCAGTGGCCATGATCTTCGTTTTTTTGATGTTGAGCTTCAGACCATGTTTCACGCTCTCCTCTTTCACCCTCATTAAAAGGTTCTTTAATTCCGCCTCACTTTCTGCCATCAAGGTTGTGTCATCTGCATATCTGAGCTTGTTGATATTTCAGCAACCATTAGCAGGGTTTAATTCCCACTTGTAATGTAACAAATACTGTGGATAATATGGATGGATACATAATATAGATTATGGAATAATATTGCATTTGTAAATGTTGACAATAGAACCCACGAAGGAGATGGGGGAAAGTATCGAGATTCAGAGCAATCGCTAGATATGGATATGCATTTGGATTGTTATAAATTTATATTTGTAAAATCAAATAAAAATGATTTCCAAAAAATAAAATAACCTTTTAAAGAGCACATCCTGTGTGTGTAAAGAGCTGATGGGTTGTATCTTTAACTGCTAAAGAAGTATGGGCAATACTTTCCCTACCTGTTTCCATTGCTTCCATATCTTGATAGTAGAACATGACATGACGAAAGCCACCAGCAACGAAGAATTTATCAATACGCTCTATCTGTTAAAAGTTCATCATTTGTAGTTAACGATTCAAAGTTAAATGTATATCAGTGCCTTGCTATGAGAAATAGCAAGAGCTAAACGTGTCCATGTGCCAGAATATTTGCATGCGCTTGCAGAGAGTATGGAAATCAGGTCTTTCAAAAACCTGCACATGCTTTCAACACCTTGGGGGCCTATCTGCTCTTTCCAGGCACGGGTCTGTGCTTAAAAGCTCTGTGCCCAAGCATTGCATTTTATTTTATTTGCACCAGAGCTTTCTCTGCAAAAACCCACTCTTTAGTGCTCCATCGGAGCAAACATCATGTTTCCCACAAATTGCCGTTTCCTCCAATTGAGCTTTAAAGAGCGGGTTTCACAGGGAAAGCTACAGGGTGAAAAAGAGCAGAGAAAAGGTTAGTGTGGACACAGCCATGGAGCAAGCTGATCAGGCGCCTGGGGTGGCACACGTGCCCTGCGCCCAGGGTTGCGGCCAGCTGCCCATGGGGTGGGGCAAGCCAGGGCAGGATGTTCCGCAGGGCCTCTGAGGAGTCTGCCTGGCTCCTCCCACTCAGCCGCCCTACAGGTGGCAGGCGGACCGTTTGAGGCAGTGGGCCTGCGGGCTCCCAAGCCACCACGTCACTCCCAGGAGAGATGTGTGGCTCGGGCACGCTGCAAGTCCTGCAGTGACTGCCGCCTGGCATTTTGTCACCCCCCTCAATGGTGACACCCGGGGCGGACCGCCCCCACAGCACCCCCCCTTCCTCCACCCCTGTGTGGACAAGCCCTGATAGTGTAGTTGAGTCTGCTGAAGTTTTAAGCTCATTCCAGGCACAACTAAACTGCACATGGGTCAACGCTGCCCGATGGCGTGTGACCAGGAAATCATTGGGGAGGTCTGAGTTGCACTTCCCTGTGCTCTTGTGTGCTCTCATGGGAAGGGATCATACCACAGGATCTCACAAGGAGAATAAGACCTTAAAACAGTGGTTCTCAACCTGTGGGTCCCCAGATGTTGTTGGACTAAACTCCCATCAAGGCTCTGGCCTTGCTAGCTAGGGATGATGGGAGTTGTAGTTCAACAACATCTGGGGACCCACAGGTTGAGAAAGGCTGTCTTTAAAAGGTCTTGCCCAAAAGGGCTTGGGACTGTTTTGACACCCAGGCTTCCCACTCACCCTTGGGTAAGGCCCTCACTGAGCTACTCAGGTCACTGGTTGATAGGGTGTCAAGGACTGGCTGGATAAGAAATAGCAGTGGGAGCCACCTGCCTAAGATAGCTACTTGGACCCCAGATCATGGTGGTGGGACTCTGAGGAACAGTTTGGGGTGTGCTAGAAACAGAGGGTTTGAGCAATCAAGGGGCATCAGGAAGAGGGCCTTCCAGGACAGGATTAGAGGCTGAAAGTCACAGTGTGAGTGGCGACTCAGACAGAGAGCAGTCAGACGTTGCCCTTGCTACACAACAGCAGGGCAGCCCCAGTCCTGCTGGCTCTCTTGCCAGACAGGCCCACAGGGAGAGCCCACCGAACTCAACACAGCCTTCGTCTGCTCAGGAGGAATCCAAAATGAGAGGCTAGAGAGGGAAGGGTAGGGCTAGTGGTCAATTTTAGCAATGTCCCAGTTAACTTAATACAAGCCGGAGGACTCTACTGTGTTATTTTCTGTTAATAAAAAGCTAATTGCCATTTCATGCCTCCAGTTCCTTCCTGCCCTGTGGATGACCTGGGCTCGCTTGACAACCTCTCAACCTCAATTGGCACCTTAGAAATTCTGGATTTTTGAGAGTGGTGCAGAAAACTCCTAATCCAAACTCCCCTTATAAATAACAAGCCACAGCCCCAAGGAGCCTCAGTTGGCCTCGGGTAACCAAGGTGTCCGGCTGGCTACAGTGAGCCATCCCTCTTGGAAACGGCTCTGTAGCTTTGTGACAATGCGATTTGTACCGAGGCATAAACTGCCGTCCTGGAATCCTAATAGGATGAAGGGTGATCTATAAATATTTTAAATTATGTTCCTGACTCCCTAGGATCATCCGTTTCCAGGAAGATGACCCAGAACTGAGCAGGAGGAGAGGAGGAATGCTAAACCATCAGCACAGGCAATAAACTGGCGTACAAAACATCTGAAGGGATTTCTCGAAAACCATTTTGCTCCATTTACAGTGAAGCGAGTGAACATTTGGCGCACGCCAACTTGCATGTTCTTAAATGCATCCACAATCAACATGGCATTAAATCCGTTCCGCTCCCAGCAGGTTTCTGCCTTCTGAAGCTACATCCATTAGCCTACCTGATTTCCTTCAAGGATTGCATCTTCCACTTCAGCCTTCTCTAAATCCACGCAGGAAGCAACAATCGACAGGATATAATCATGCCTGCCATCCAGGTGAGCACGCTTGGCCTCTTTTTCCTCCTTCAGCTTTTGCTGGAAGGACAAAATTCCCATTAGTACCTTAGAGGGAACTTAACGTTTCTTTCCAGGCCCTGCATTAGAAGCTCAAAAATTCCCAATGCTTGAACCCATCAGTGAAAAAGCAAAAACTCCATGTGATATTCTTGGGGGAGGGGGAAATCTCACTGTTCACTGGATAGGGCTGCAGTCATATGTAAATTTCTTCAGATTCATTCAATGGGAACTTTCCCCCAAGTATAAATGTGTTATGTTATGTACTGAAGTTCTCACCCTGGGCTAGCAGGGGGATACTATAGATAGTTTTCACTCAGGTCCACATATGCAAATAAGGGATTGAAAGTGACGTTCAGTCATTGGACAGTTACAGAAAGTGGTTACTGTTGCATTGTAGTGGAGCTCTATATAAGCAGGCTGGCTGAACCCTTCAGTTCTGTTCTGTTCTGGCCTGTGAATAAACAAGAGCTGTTTGAAGAATCGCTGTGTCGTCTGATATGTTCACCCACAACTTAACACGTTATATGAAAGGCTGCCTCTGAAGACGGTTCGGAAACTTCAGCTAGTGCAGAATTCAGCAACCAAGTTGCTCACCGGAGCAAGACGGTTTGAGCATATTACAATGATCCTGGTCCGACTGCACTGGCTACCAATTAGTTTCCGGGCCCAATTCAAAGTGCTGGTTTTGACCTATAAAGCCTTAAATAGCTTAGGACCGCAAGGACCGTGTCTTTCCATATGAACCTACCCAGAACCTGAGATCATCTTCTGAGGCCCTTCTTCATGTGCCTCCTCTTTGAGAGGTCCAGAGGGTGGCAACACGAGAACAGGCCTTTTCTGCAGTGGCCCCCATCTGTGAAATGCTCTCTCCAGGGAAGTTCGCCTGGCGCCTTCATTATATACCTTTAGGTGCCAGGCAAAAACGTTCCTTTTTAACCAGGCCTTTGGTTGATCTATAACCTTTTAAAATTTGGCTTTTTTCTTGGGGGGGGGTGTTATTGGGTTGTTGTTTTTATTCTGATGTTGTGATCGTTTCTGTGAACCGCCCTGAGACCTCTGAGTATAGGGCGGTATATAAACTCAATTAATCATCATCATCATCATCACATCATGTATAGAATTGGGCTCTGAAGCTGTCAAGGGAGTTAGGAATACAGATGGACTCCAAATCCCCAGTGGCGGAGGAAGGGGGGTGGTCCGCCCCGGGTTTCATCCCTGAGGGGGGTGACATTGCCGTGCTGCCCCCCCGGGACACTCACTACAGGCAGCACCCCCCGGGATGCTTGACGCTCACCGTGGGCGGCAGCCCCCTGGGACGCTCGACGTGGGCGGCACCCCCTACGGCAGCTAGCCCCGCCCCCATGGTGGCTAGCCCCACCCCTGCAGGAGGCTAGCCCCACCCCCAGGTGCACAGCATGTGCACTGCACCAGGTGCTTGAGCAGCTAGCTCCGCCTCTGCAAATTTCATCAGCCCCAGCCAGTATGGCCAATGGTCAGAGGTGATGTGAGTTGTAGTCCAACTACCTCATGGTGCAATGAATCAGTGTGTCCGGCTGTTAACCGGAAGGTTGGTGGTTCGAGCCCACCCAGGGACAGCTGTGGGCAGGATTCCTGCATTGTATTCCTGCAACCCTACAATTCTATACATCTGGAGGGGCACATAGGCTTTGCCACGTACCCACAGGAAGGGATTGGTTAGGCACTGTTTTCCTGACAGCTGAGCGGACAGAATGATTTCTTCATTTATTTCCAACGGATTCCAAAATGCCTGCTTCTCAAAATGAGATCTAAGCGGGCTTTCGATTGTCGCCCAAATGAGCCATGCATCATTTGACTTCCTGAAAACGTCCTCGCCATGGGGTTGGAAAACAAAAGCCAATCATTTGATAAAAGCAACCTGAAAGATGGAGAGATCTCATTTCACCCGGGCAGCAAATTGCCTTTGACCGTTTGACAATAGCAGCAGCAGCTGCCAGAGCTGCTAAGCAACAGGTTACCCAAGCTGCCACAAACAAAACATTACAGAGGGGGTGTGCCAGTCTCTAGTCTCAGGCTATCGTTTTCGGTCGTGGTCCAAGCTTCAGAAAGCCAATAGGGGTGACGCAGGGGGATGTCTTTGCATTCAAAAAAAACATGAGAAAGGATATCGCATTTAAGAACTAACATACAGTTCCCCTCAGTGGCTGGCAGGAATCCTGACAAAGCCCACAATCAGCAACATGAAAACAACAAAATTCTCAGTAGTTTTTTTGGTTTACATTTAGTTACCATGGCTAATAGACCTATTTCACTTATAACAAAAGGAGGAGGGGGGCCTGCAACTCGCCAATGAAGGTACTGAGACAAAAAGCAATCCATCACGAAATAAATAAGACTGCAATATCAGCTCATGAATCACAAGATACGGTATTATAAGGATTCCAATATACACAGCTCACTCCATCATCTACGTTAAGTATCTGAAAACAAGCCGTCATTCCATATCTAAAGACCTTCTAGAAGACGCGGCGGTCTTTACGGCGGGAATTTTTCCCATTCAAAATACATAAATCACCAGAGCCCATAATGGGCGGAAGTTTAATTCATGAGGTAATAATAAAAAATTATGCACTAATAATGATCTGTCACTCTTCTCCAAATGGAAAAGGGAAAAGGATTTTTAAAAATAAATAACAGAAAGAGAAGAAGCTTCACGCAAGAAAACAACCAGAGTCTATCTGTTCTCCAAGAACTCTTTACCTCATTTTAAAACAAGAAAGTTCTAAGCAATCCGGTGCTTTCTCTCTGTGTGCAATCGTTTATCATCTTAATTGTTTTGAATCAATAAAATGGTTATTTTGGGTTGTGGAAGGGTATCCCTTTGGATTCTGGATGTGGAAGGGGAGATTTAGAACTAAGAGGCCCAAAAGAGCATTCTTACCTTTTGCAATGCCCGTCCCCCACCCCAGCTACTGGTTTTTGAAGAATACAGGAGAAAATCACATGCCCATACTTCCATTTGCAGCTTATCCAGACCTGTGCTTTCCCCCAGGAAAACCCAGCCTTTACTGCTGAATTGGAGCAAACACCAACTGGGTTTTCTGCATATTGACATTTGCTCTGATTTAGCGCATATTTTCTTCAATTATTATTTTTATTTGGACCATTTATATACCACTCGTAGTTAAACAAAACTCTTAAGCGGTTTACAGCATAGGTCTTAAATATCTTAAATAAACAGCAAATACCAAAACAAAGAAGAGAGAATTTCTACGTTCTATAAAACTTAACTAAATAGAGCATCAAAATAAACATGGCCACATAAAAATCAGCTGCAAAAAAAATGCAAGGAGAATCCATAGTAAAGGACTAAATCCAATCATCCTCTAAAGATCAGGAAGCAAAATAATTAAAAATGGAAATGAGCTTAAAAGTATAAATTTCACCTTTTTTAAAAACCAAAAACAAAACCTGATTCGCAATGAAGCAAAAGAAAATCAACTCATTCTTCCCCACCACCATACATCAATCAATCATCCCATTAAATGCTGATTATTGAGCATTCATTCCCATTTGCTCTCCTGTGCTTTCCACCACATTTCCCCCTCACTTTCCTTACTGCAAAGGATTCAGGGAGGGAAGTAGGTTTGTTGCCCAAGAGCACAGAATCCACTTGTATTGCACAACCAGAATTGGCTGGTATGCAATTCCCAGCCGCAAATCAGCGAGGGTCTCTGGCGCTTACCTTCAAAACTCTGCTGATGCTTTGTTTCCAAAGTTGTCTCTTCCCACTTCTGAACATTTTGCTAGCTAAAGTTCACTAACAGTTAATCGGAAGCCAACATTTGCTTAGTTGCTCCAAGTCCCTTAGTCGAAGCTTTTGGGGCACGAGGATCTCTGGTAAAGATTAGGTGCCTTGAAAACTGGTTTAGATTCCTGAATGTGGCCAACGTTCACAGCTAAAACAGATTGTGAACAGAAACTGGCCCACCCAGAGAAGCCACCAGGAGTTCTAGAACTCAGGAGTTTGAGCTGCTGAGACAAGCCCAACATAGGTGTGGTGTTGTTATGGTAGTGTTGACTTCTGAAACTACACCAGCAAATTTGCATAGCAATCTTAGCTGTCCCTGTTCCAGTGCTCTCTCCTTTTTCACCACACTTCATCTTTGGTCTTGTTTGCTCTACGGGTCTTGGGCAAACACTTTCCCCTTCCTTTCTTTCTTGAGCTCTGTGAGGCAAGACAGGTGAATGGCTGTCAAAAGATGTCAAACCTTACACTGGCTTTAATTAATACAGCCACAAACAGAAGCCCAGTCTCTGACGCAGAGCTCCATGAGCGTTGCTACGATCTCTCGCCATCTTGATCTCCACTGCCCTGAAATCTAATATGGTGAAATGTGGTGGATAGTTGTTTTTAATCAATGAATAGTTCAGTCTTTTTCCTTTTTCTTTTTTAGGAGCTTTGCTCAGTCATAGAGCCTCTGCTTTGCCTAAAGTAAGTCCCTTGTTCAATACATGGAATCTCTAGGGAGGGCTATCTGCACTTCGAGCACAATTCAAAGTGTTGGTGCTGACCTTTAAAGCCCTAAATGGCCTCGGTCCAGTATACCTGAAAGAGCATCTCCACCCCCATCATTCTGCCCAGACACTGAGGTCCAGTGCTGAGGGCCTTCTGGCAGTTCCCTCGCTGCAAGAAGCCAAGTTACAGGGAACCAGGCAGAGGGGCTTCTTGGTGGTGGCGCCCTTCCTGTGGAACGCCCTCCCACCAGATGTCAAAGAGAACAACAACTACCAGACTTTTAGAAGACATCTGAAGGCAGCCCTGTTTAGGGAAGCTTTTAATGTTTAATAGATTATTGTATTTTAATATTCTGTTGAAAGCCGCCCAGAGTGGCTGGGGAAACCCAGCCAGATGGGTGGGGTATAAATAAATTATTATTATTATTATTATTATTATTATTATTATTATTATTCCTTTTCTCAAGATGGTTTCTTCCCTCAGATTCTCGTTTCTCAGTCTGTTGCTTACCCCGCATCATCTCATCTCTGGCCAGATGCCTCCCTGACCCTTTAGTTAGTTAGTTAGTTAGTTAATCAGTTAGTTAATTTGTATCTCAGGGCGGTTCACAGCATAAAAATACAAAATGCAAATGCAAATATCCCCACGTCCTGGGACTTCAGCCTGCCTCACAAAGCTATTCCCATTCCTAGTGACTGTGTGAAGTTTAAATACCAGCCAAACTGACAACTCTCTATCCTCACGGGAGATGGACATGAAACAATGACAGGTTTGTTCCCTGAGCTGTTGAAATGTTCATCAATGTTATGTGCTTAACTGATCAGTGTCAGAGAAGCGAATGGCCTTGATGCATTTTGGGGGGACGAATTCTACATTTCCCGTGTTCGGAGACTAGTTTTGCAAACATAGAAAAGAGAGCGCCAATAGCCCTTAAGTTTGGATATAAAATTAAATTGGTTCATGCTGTGCAGTGCTGTGATAATATTGTGCCAGGACGAACAGCTCATTGCAGCGAAAACCAGCTTTCGCTTTAAAGCACACAGCCAGCAGGATGCCACCTACAAAGCTATGAGAAGGCACTTGAAAAGGGGTGAGTTTCTCTTGCCAAGCAAAATGCAGAAAAGCAATACTGTGGTGCCCCCCAGTGGCAAATACTGTAAAATAAGCTACATTGAGCTCCCTTACATAAGCTATAGTATAAAGAAACAACTCACATGCAGTTTAAGAAAATGATTTAATATTCCTTTGTGACATGAAGATTACAGCTTAAGCTTTCCATGAAAGTCAGCAAGACTGTGCCAACGCAAGAAAAAATCCTTGCACCCAGATATGTGGCGAAACATTCAGAATTTTTGCGCCTGGGCATACAGAATAGCTAAGTTGAAATAGCAGGCTGGCTGTAAACAACATCATGCCATGGTGGTCCTGATCTTTCTCTAGGGACAAGATGCATCTAACTCCCAATTTATGCCCAATTTAGAATCTCTCCCTCATTATAATTGGAAGGGCATATGGATGCTTCTTCTTTAAGACTGGAAATCAAGTCACACTCTCTGGTTAATTAATTGATCTAGATATCTAGATTCATCACACTCTTGTCTCAAGGAGCTCAGACGTATCTCCCACAAAAACTCTGTGAGGTAGGTTAGACCAAGAATTGGTAGCTGGCTCCATGTCACCAAGTAGGCTTTGTGGCTGAGTGTGGGTTCGAACCCAGAAGTTCTGGGTCTGCTACTATTAATCCTTCCCTGACTTTGACTCCAGTTTATGTTCCTGCTAAAACCAGACCTGCTGGTTTTCAGCATCGTCTCTCAACTCCTATATGATCCGAGCAGAAGAACTGCACTGAGGGCCATTTGCTTGCTGAGTAATAAAAATTGTGGCCTCCTCTCTCTCTAATTGAACTTATATATGTTCGGTTGCAAGGATGTCGTGGGAGATTTCAACAATGGGCAAGATTCAAGGAGGTGAAAAGGATTGTGGACATGATGAGTGTGGATGTTTGATAACATTTGTGACAGGGTTTAAGAGTACTTATTGATTATTTCTTTAGGATGGGATTCAGCTAATAAGTCCTGTCAGCAGAAGCCCTGTGCA